TTTTTTTTTTCTTCTTTTGCGTGAACCCTTGCTAATGTAATAAGCTTAAGCATTGCATTTCTTCTAAATTTTGTGGGTGTGAATCTAACTATTTATCTTTTTCTTTTTTAAATTAAATAACTAATTATCTTTTTATCTTTCATGCATGAACAAGTAATTGCAGTGGATGCACTAATGCATTACTTCCTGATTTTTTCTATTCCAAGTGTACCGTGAAAATGAAGGTATGCATGCAGTTTCTTCTTCTTTAAGAAAAAGAAACCAAGGCTATAGGGTATTTCCAACTCCAAGCTTATGATCCTGTTTGGTATATTCCCGGAAAAGACTGAAAACAATTTTAATCTCTTATACTAGGCTCTCATAAATTGAAATATTTTTATTTTATTGATGTCAAAGACTTGAACAATTTCTTAACAAATTTTATAAGTAAAGAAAAGAAAATAAAAAAAGTATAATTGAAGACATAATCATTGTTGGATCGATGGAGACAAGATTAGGTGCAGTTTGGTGTAATAGGAGTCTTTGATTGTTCTTAGGTGCTAAAGACAAAAATTACCTCAAAAAGAAGAGAAAAGACTAAAAGTAAAAGTAGGATTTTTTTTTTTATTTTGTATTTTTAAGATGTATAAAATGTTTAATAATTATATTATTAATTTGTGTTTTAAAAATACAATTTAAAAAAATTAAGATTAATAAAGTTGCTTAAAGAAAGGAGGTAACTAATTAATGAAATTTTCTCACAGGAAAAGAAAAGAAAAGGAAAAAAAAAAAGTCAAGTGGCTCTAGTCACGTTTGTAAGATTCATATCTCATTTCCTCGTGGCAACGGTTTGAGCCAGCTCCATGATAAAAATGTTCAAAAAAGAAAAAAAAAATTAAACCAAAAAAGGAATAAGAACGAAAAATTATCCCCAAAAATCTCAGGGGTCTGCGGGTCCATGCAATACAGGTGCACATTCCATGATCTCTTTCCCAATAGGCCATGGTTTACTGGTGCCACATAGACGGTACCGTTTGGAGGATACAAGCCTAAGGAGGGAGGATCAGGCATAATGGATAACAAATAAATTAAAAAAGGATTGCGCAGTTTTGATTATATTAAATTGTATATCTTAAATTTTAAAATAAAATAAATATTTTAGTTATTGGTTTACAATTCACGTTGCAAAGTAGGGAACTAAATAAATAAAATGGAAAATTGAACTTCCCTCCCTGTAATTTTAGATGTCTATACTTTGCCCCACGTGACTCGTAATTAAAAACTAAAAAGATACATTTATAGATACATTTAACCCATTATTGAGCTTGAACCGAGATATATTATCTTGGCAAATATTGATGGTGCATTTTTTTTTTTCACATTTTAAACAAAAATAAGTGTATTGTTTTATTCTAAAATAACAAATCTACTCATTTTTCTTCCTGTAGAGCATGCATCGATATTGCAAATGAAATAGAGTATGAATTAGTGCTCTCGATCCCTTAATTTTTGTTCAATTTGGGATTTTATGATGATAAAACCTTATTTTAAACTCTTAAATTTCTCCAAGTTCTTGATTAAATCATTAAACTTGATAATTTAGGTAATTTAACTATTTTTTTTACGAAAACTTAATCCCGTTTGTGTCTCACTTGTGTGAAAAAACTATTAATATATCATTAGCTAAGTGGTAAGTATTAACCTTATTCACATAAGTAAGGCATAAATTAGAGTTAAGTTTACTATAAGAAAAATAATTATATTGTTCAAATCACTAAATTTAAGAGTTTATTTACTTCAATAAAAATCTAAGAGCTTAATCAAGAATTTGAAATAAGTTTAGATACTTAACATAGGTTTTACCTTCTATGACACCCATAAAAATATTGTTCAACAAACTCTTGGAAGGGGTGTTCATTTTTGTTCCAAAATGCTAAGTAATGTAACTTTGTTACCAATATACTTGTTAAAAAATGCAAAATGCAATTAAAGTGTAGTTTCAACTAAAAATCTTTAACCTGAAACAAAATAATGCATCTTTACTATTTTTTCATGTCTTTATTTGAGGGAGAAATTAGAGTGTTGTGCAAAGGGGTGAAGTTAATTTGCATTTTTGCGAAATTACGAGGGTAAAATGCATCCAAACTGCAGAGGGAAAACGTTGCCTTCGGTACAGTATGATTGTGATTTTGAATTTTGAATTTTTAAAT